CACTCGAATCGCTGCTGGACCTGCTGTCGGGCTTCATCCTCTTTGCTCATCTCTCTTGCCCTCACCTATCCACCTATTTCACTGCACCCTGCACTGTACCAGGTGGTGGCGTCCATAGAACCCGGCAGTCTATCCATCATTACATCAACGCTCGACTCACTGCTGGACCTGCTGTCGGGCTTCATCCTCTTTGCTCATCTCTCTCAACCCCCTCCACTGCACCCCAATGCACTCCTTGGCACGCCATGCCAACCCCCTCCACTGCACTCCACCGCATTCCACCGCACTCCACCGCACTCCACCGTACTCCACTGCCCTGCATCAGGTGGTGGCGTCCATAGAATCCGGCAGTCTGTCCATCATCGCCTCAACGCTTGACTCGCTGCTGGACCTGCTGTCGGGGTTCATCCTCTGGTACACGGCGCGCTCCATGCGCCGCCACAACCCCTACAAGTACCCCATCGGCAAGGCGCGCATGCAGCCCCTGGTATGCTGCCTGTAGCCTGTAGGCACACTACACTCCACTCACCGCATTGCACCGCACTACACCGTGAACCTGCGGTCGGGCTTCATCCTCTGGTACACGGCGCGCTCCATGCGTCGTCACAACCCCTACAAGTACCCCATTGGGAAAGCACGCATGCAGCCCCTGGTACGTTCATGGCACTTCTGGCACTATCCCTGCACCAGGGCATCACAGTGTTAGCGTACATTTTTAGTCGACTCAAAATACTTCTGGCACTATCCCCCCACTAGGGCATCATAGTGTTTGCGTCCATCATGGCCACTCTCGGCCGGCTTCACCCTCTACCTTCCCCCACCCTTTCCTATACCCTCCCCTCCCTCTACCCCTATCCCCCCCACCCCACCCCTGTCCCCTCCACCCTCCCCCCGCCAGGGCACCATAGTGTTTGCGTCCATCATGGCCACTCTCGGCCGGCTTCAACCTCTCCCTTCCCCCACCCTTCTTTATACTTTCCCTCCCGCTACCCCCTATCCCGCCCACCCCATCACTAACCCCTCCCCCCGCCAGGGCATCATAGCGTTTGCGTCCATCATGGCCACTCTCAATTGCCCGCCCACTCCCTTCCCCCATACGTGTGTTCCGCCCACCCACCCTGTCCCCTCCCCCCCCCGCCAGGGCATCATAGTGTTTGCATCCATCATGGCCACTCTCGGCTTCCAGGTGCTGCTGGAGGGCGTCAGGCGCCTCACAGACTCGGTAAGATGCAACTCAGTATGGCTCACAGACGTGGTAAGATGCAACTCAGTATGGCTCACAGACGGGGTAAGATGCAACTCAGTATGGCTCACAGACGCGGTAAGATGCAACTCAGTATGGCTCACAGACGCGGTAAGATGCAACTCAGTATGGCTCACAGACGCGGTAAGATGCAACTCAGTATGGCTCACAGACGCGGTAAGATGCAACTCAGTATGGCTCACAGACGCGGTAAGGGCTGGCTGGCTCACAGACGCGGTAAGATGCCTGACGCCCTCCAGCAGCACCTGTGAGACACAGACTCAGTATGGCCTGTTTTGTGATTGAGACCAAAATCCCTTCCCTCCTGCTGTGTGTCATTGGCTGCTGTGTGTCATTGGCTGCTGGGTGTCATTGGCTGCTGTGTGTCATTGGCTGCTGTGTGTCATTGGCTGCTGCGTGTCATTGGCTGCTGCGTGTCATTGGCTGCTGTGTGTCATTGGCTGCTGTGTGTCATTGGCTGCTGCGTGTCATTGGCTGCTGTGTGTCATTGTCTGCTGTGTGTCATTGGCTGCTGTGTGTCATTGTCTGCTGTGTGTCCAGCCTAAGCAGCAAGCCGCAGTGTGTGTGTACGTGGGTGGGTATAACGCTGTTTGCCCATACCACTCAATTCGCATCTCCCCTTCTTTCCCCCTGCCGTCTGTCCGCAGTCCCACGATGCAGGGCTGGGCAGCAAGTGGCAGGTGTATGTGGGCATCATGCTGTTCGCAATCGCAGTCAAGTCAGCGCTCTATTTCTACTGCCGCATGTTCCCCAACAACGACATTGTCATGACGTATGCCCAGGTGAGTCACAGAGACCATCAACCTACACTACAGTGCCATGGTTCTCATTGTCGTCTACTGCTGCATGCTCCCCAACAACCACATCGTCATGACGTATGCCCAGGTGAATTGTACAGGCCACGACTTGATGGTTCATGTCTCTCATTGCCATAATATATCCAGGTGAGTCGCAGATACCATCGATCTACAATGTCATGACTCATATTGTTGTCTACTGCTGCATGCTCCCCAACAACGACATCGTCATGACGTGGTCACCAACACGTGGACCATCAACCGACTCTAATCTCACTGCCTCTACCGCCCCCTGGCGCCCTCCACCTTCCGCCTTGGCGGGAACCATGCCATGCCCGCAGGACCATTACTTTGGCGTGGTCGGTCACCAACACATACATAGACCATCAACCAATGCTAATCTCGCAGCCTCTACCTCTCCTTGGCGCCCTCCACCTCCCATCATGCCATGCCATGCCGCAGGGCCATCTCTTTGACGTGGTCACCAGCACATGGAACATCAACCAACTCTAATTTCACTGCCTCTAATCTGGGTCTTTGCCATTTCTTTGCCACGCGCTATGCCGTGCCCGCAGGACCATTTCTTTGACGTGGTCACCAACAGCGTTGGGCTGGGCGCGGCTGTGCTCGCAGGGGCCCTTGCCTGGTGGATCGACCCTGTCGGTGCTATCTTGGTATGACTCTGCCGTCCACCCTCTTCCATCCACCGTCTGCCGTCCACCCTCTGCCGTCCACTCTCTGCCATCCACTCTCTGCCATCCACTCTCTGCCCGTCTGTCATCCATGCTCAACCAAGTGTGGCTGCACTGTTCATCGCAACCCATTGCCACCCCCCTCTTTTCCCTACCCCCAGCTCGCCCTCTATACCATGATCAACTGGGGTTGCTCGCCCAGATCAACTGGAGCTGGAGTTGCACGGTTCTTTTCCTGTGTGCCTTTCCTCTAGCTTTATCCTCCCTCCACGTCCCCACACTACCCTCTCTTCTTCCCTCCCCCCAGATCGCTCTCTATGCCATGATGAACCAGGTTCGCACTGTCCTTGGGAACGTCTCCTCCTTGCCTTGTCTCCCTCTATTCCACCTATTCCCTCGATCCCCTCGCTTCCCTCCCTTCTCCCCCCCCATCAGCTCGACCTCTTCACCTCGCACGGTCCTTGAGAACGTCAAGTCACTGCCTTATCCCTCTCACGTCCCCCTTCCCTCTCCCCCCGCCACCATCAGCTCGCCCTCTACACCATGGTCAACTGGGGCCGCACGGTCCTTGAGAACATCAACTCGTTAACAGGCCCAACAACGCCCGAGTTCCTGAAGAAGATAACGTACCTGTGCTGGAACCACCACGAGGCCATCCTCTTACCCCCTTCCCTCCCCCTTTCCCCCTGCTCGCCCTCCACACAGAGATCAACTGGGGCCGCACAGTTCTGGGGCTTCATTCCAACCCTTTCCTTCCCTCTCCATTCTCATTGCCCCAACCCCCTCATCCTCCCCCTCCCAGCTCGCCCTCTACACCATGATCAACTGGGGCCGCACGGTCCTGGAGAACGTCAACTCGTTAACAGGCCGGTCGGCGCCGCCCGAATTCCTGCAGAAGATAACGTACCTGTGCTGGAACCACCACGAGGCCATCCTCGCTATCGACACAGTGCGCGCGTACACCTTCGGCACGCTCTACTTCACCGAAGTGGATGTCGTGCTGCCCAGAGACATGCCCTTAGAGGTGGGTGGAGAGGGGAATTGAGTAGCTGCCGTGCGTGCCCCCAGGGGTATGGCACTCGAGGTGGGTTAGTGTGCGAGCTGGCTTTGAGCGCGTGTACACCTTTTGCACGCCCTCGTTCTCTGAAGTGGATGTTGCCCTGCCAAGAGGCATGCCCTTAGAGGTGAGTGGAGGGGTGGTGGGTTGAGGGGACACGCCCTTGTGTGGCTCAGAGGTAAGAAGTGTGGCTCGACGTGAGGCTTGCGGCCTTCAGAGCACTTTCCAGTGACAAAAGGTTTTTGTGCGAAGTTCCCCTCCAGTTGAGAAATGCTGCTCAAAGAAGGGTTCAGAGGTTGAGAAGGTGAGCGGTTGTGAGTCTAAGATGGAGTTACCCTACGCTTCTTTTGGAGGCGCCTCAAAAATAGACTCCTCACGCGTGGAGTTGCCCTACGCTTACCATCACATCCTCATCCCCACCTGATCCTCCCACCTCACATCTCTTCCTCTTCTCCCCCCCCCTTCCCCTCTCTTCCTCCCCTCTACACCCTCTCTTCCTATCGGCTCCTTTCGCAGGAAACGCATGATATAGGAGAGGCGCTTCAGAACAAGCTGGAAAGATTGCCTGAGATTGAACGCGCCTTTGTGCATTTGGACTATGAGGTCGAGCACAGGCCGGAGCATCATCAGCACTCCTCGTTCCCGGCCCCCCCCGCTGCACCCACCATCACAACTCTTCCTCCACCGGACACCCCCACGGGGTGATTGTTCTCTCGCGGTTGGCTGGATTAATCCATGGTGCATGTTTGTTTGGCTGGTTTTGGATATAATAAAGCTTCACTATGCTGGCACATGCAAGTGTGCCCCTATTTTCCCCCTTATGAAGAGCGTTGTGCGTCTTACTATTTCCATGGCTGTTTTTGTGCATGGTTGTTGCTTATTGGATGAACCTTGGTTATCATTTATTTCTGAGATAGTAGCACCGGTAAAAGTGATTGTTTGCGTGTTCGTTTATAAAAATTAATACTTACCGTTGGGTGACGATAAAGAGCGGGCCTCGACTCGTCATTCCCAGTGCCGTTTCGCCTGACGCCCGCAGCAGCTTCCCTCCAAATTCGGTCAGGAAAGCTTCACAGGCGGTTCAGTCAGTCAAACCTGGCTGTGGCGGTGGTGGATTCAGCTGAAGCGAGCGCAGCAGCAGTTTTTTCCAGCAATGCTACACATTCTGCTAGATTGAAATTCCTAGGTTGAATTAGTGAACGCGGATTTCAGGCTATATCATTTCATCCTGATGATCGTAGGCTACGTTCATTGGTAGAAGATAGCGCTAAGACGCCGTGGGACAAGGCTGTGAGACGACGCCGCTCCTTCCAGTGGCTCGCGGTAGAGGTTGAGATTCTCGTGCTTGAGTCGCGTTTCATGATTAGACGACGATGCAGCCGCTAGGTAGGTGACTGCCAGGGGGAATAACGGAAATCAGTCGTCGCCTTCCTTTTCACCGGCAACCATCCTTCTACCCCTGATTCAATTCTGTGCTACACTAGTCTAGGCTGTTAGGACGGAGAGAATCTGCTGGAGTTCTGCCGATACGATACCTAAGTATTCCCAGTAGCTCGAGTTCCGACATGGCGACGCGGAATCGCACAGCCGTTTTCATGAAACATCGAGATGCTCTCAAGTCAACCAGGCCGAACGCCGGATCTACAGCAGCAGCTCGCGATCTCGATCAGGCGGAGAAGGGATGGGGGAAGGCGAGAAAAGGAGGAGGCTATGTCCAGCTGACTCGATTAGACACGGGAGACAGGTACGTGGAACGGAACTTAAGCGTCGCTCTTGACGCACCTCAAAGAAGAAGGTGGTATGGGGGACGAGACCAAAAGGAGGAGGCTATGTCCAACTAACTCGATTAGACACGGGAGACAGGTACGTGTAACGCAACATTAGCCTCGGCGGTAAATTTCAACTGAAGTTTGCAAGGCTTGTCGGACATTCAGCCGTGCGCTGGTAAAACTCGCTTCCAATCGACACTCTCGAAATGGCGAGATTTCGGAATGTCTGAAGAAAGTGTCTAAATGTCGTTTCCATTTCCTTTACTGGGTGGCTCTGGTTCAGGCTTTCCGCAGGGACGTCAGGAGCAGCAGCGTCGCAACCAGCCAGTTCCGGTGGGTTGGGAAGCCCGGGCCTACCCCCTGTGTGGGTAGATGTGTCTGATAAGATCAAGGAGGATATGCAGCGGATTAGGGGGAAGATGGGTGAGCTCGCGAAAGTCCAGGCACGCGCTCTGCTACCGACGTTCGACACGGATGATGCGCGGGGGAAGAAGAACGAGCATGAGCGAACTATGGAGGTGCTCACAGCTGAGATTACACGGTCTTTAAAGACGTGCGAGCAGCGGCTGCAGCGGCTGTCGCAAAAGGATGCCACGTCAGCGGGGAATGCGGCCATTGCACGCAATGTTCAGGTATGCTGCAAAATTCAATATGAAACTGGCCGACGCAAATTCAGAAGGAAGTCATATAAAATGAAGCACTGGCATAGCTTGGAAAGAGGCGGTACTGAGCTCATGCACCACGAAAAAACTCATATTGCAGCCACCAGTCTGGAAATTGCTCACTGAGGCTGTGTGGTTGTTCCCTCCCTCCCCCCCCCCCCCCCCGCAACCCCCAAATCTCCTCCCCTTTCCCACAATTCTTATATTTTTCATATCAGAGATGCATGGCCACCGACTTGCAACAACTCTCCATGGATTTCCGCAAGCAGACAAAGCAGTATCTACGGCGACTGCAGCAGCAGCAGCAGCCACAAGAAAAGGTATGTGTGTGTGCGTGCGTGTGTGTGTATGTAGCAGACACTGGCAGGCACCGAGAAAGGTGCAGCTGCTCAGTGGCTGGTGCGAATGTGAGCATATAATATAAGGTCACTCCAGAGACAAACAGAGAGAGGTCTCTGAAGCTGCTGAGTGGTTCACAGATCGGCATATTGTCTTGCCTCCTCCTCATCTCTATGCCATAGTAAACCCTAAAAACACCCAAGTAACACTGGCTCGCATTCTTGCTTCCTTTGCTGACTTGTTATCACATCTGTGTGTAATGAGTCGATTTTGAGTCGACTCAAAAATCGACTCATTACACCTGGCTCTCATTCTGGCTTCCTTTGCTGGCTTGTTATCACATCTTCATGTCTTGGCCTGTCCTCTTATGGCTGTTGCTCGAGGAGTCTATTTTTGAGGCGCCTCAAAAATAGTGTCCTCTTATGGCTGTTGCTCCTGTGCTCATCTGCCCGTGAGTTTGCAACTGTGCGTGTCAGGCTGTGCTGGGCCGTGCTGGTGCTGGTGGGTCGTCAGGCAGGCTACATGAAGTGTCGTCAAGCTCAACGCAAACAGATGATGATGACTACTTTGACCCGGTACACAGCCGGTTCCTCTGTCCTTCCCCCGCTCCTCCCGCCCGTTCCTCCCGCCCCCCTTCCCCACCCTCCCCATTTTCATATCTTTCTAAGAGAGGAGAAAGAACACACACTCCCCCTCATCCCTTCTCGTTCCCCTGCCTCCCGTTCCCCTCTCATCACTGCTGCTTCCTTCTTTCCCTAGTATGCCCCTTCCTACCCAATCTCCCTAGCCGTCCGTTTGTACTTCTTCCTCCGTCACCCTGCTCTTGTATCCCCACCCCCCCCTTCTGCACCTGCTCTTGGGCTGTTATTTCCTTGTGTCTTCATCTGCCATGCCATCACCCCACACAATAACCCTGAGCCCTGTGCTGCGCGCCAATGTCCTGCAGGAGTTTGAGGAGCGGCAGTTGCTGCGAGTGAGGCAGATGGAGAACGTCACAGCAGAGAGGGAGAAGGAAATCCAAGAGGTGAGCTGGCCCTGGGAGAAAAAGTGCAGGTTCCCTGGCGGAAAGTTTCTAGGGTTTTGCTACAGTCAGCCTCAGCTGCTTGGAGACGATGCGGTCACACTTCAATCCCCCCCAAGAGGAGTGACAGTTGCTGCGAGTGAGGCAGATGGAGAGCGTCAAAGCCGAGAGGGAGAAGGAGATCCACGAGTTGAGCTGGCTCTGGGCGTGAAAGTGCAGGTTCGCTGGTAGGGGATCTCGCGTTTCTGTTTGTGTCGCTCAGATCCTTCAGCTCATGACAATGTGGACTTCTCTCTCAGTCTTCCTTACTGTAGGAGCTTATCGTACTGAACAAGCATCGCTCTTCCATTTTCTGCTCCTTTTCTCCCTCCCTGTCTGGTTCTGAGGCACCTCAAAACTAGACTCTTATGGTACTGAACAAGCATCGCTCTTCCATTTGCTTCTCCTTTTCTCCCTCCCTGTCTGCTTTCTTTTGTTGGAGCAGATAGTGCAATCGGTGCATGACCTCGCGCAGATCATGAAGGACATTTCAGTGCTTGTCATTGATCAGGTAAAGGTCCTACTGTTGGAGATGTCTCTAACTGCGACCTCGTGCAGATAACGAAGGCCATGTCAGTCCTTGTAAACTATCAGGTGGGACCGGTATGTCAAATTCGTCCCTGTTTGTGGCCTTCTTTCTTCCCGCTTGCTCGATCCATCTTTGTGAGATGGCTTTTGAGAATGGTAGCATGACTTGCATCTGTTCGGTATTTCTCAGGCGAGCCTCTCACCTTGGTGGAACTTGATCTGCTGCACTCTCTTTGGTTGCTGTGCAGGGAACCATTGTTGACCGTATTGATTACAACATCCAAAACATAAGTGCAAATGTGGATAAGGGTGTGGAGGAGCTAAAAAAGGTAAGCTGCAATCCTGCTACGAGCGTGCTGCTGAATCGGCAACATGGGTAGATGTGTCGATCTCATTCATTCCCTTCTAATGGCGATGTCATCCTTTCCTGCGGCATCGTCACGGGGTCTTCCTGTGCAGGCTGAGAAGACCCAGAAGCAATCAGCCCTCATCTTCTGCATACTTGTCCTTGTGGTTGCGGTTCTGGCCCTCTTTGTCATTCTCATCCTCAAGAAGCTCATATTTTGATGATACTCTCTCTGCATCTCTTGTGGCCAAACGAGTGGCATAATTCGCGGATAAGCTGCTACCCCGCGTGGAGCAGTATGAAGTGAATGGGTTTCGTACAGGTGCCCACATTGTCGGCTATAAGAGATTCTTCCTTGAGTGTGCTTCGACAAGTTAAGGGTGCGCATCAGTTTATGCCCAGTGACTTAGTACACACACCCTGAACGTGTTCTCCTGTTGCCTCCTGTCGGGCTCATCTCTTGGTTATTGCCAAGTTGTAGTGAAACTTGTCGTCCGTATGAACGTTGAGAATGCACCCTCACCCTTTATAGCTCTTTCTGTGAGTTCCAAATATCGAGACTGGTTTCTGAAACAGACTGTTCAGCCCTACAAACACTTGTTCCCTTCTATCAATTTAAATAGTTCCGTCTTTAATGCTGATTACACACAAAATAGCTAGTACTCGCGTCCAAAGCGCAACAATCTCTCAGTCTGTCTGTGATGAGTATGAAAACGGTTGCAATTTCGAGTCGCTGTGAGCGCTTCGAGCAGGCGGAAATTGCACGATAGAAATCGCAAAATAAACCGTCAGTCTCTTCTGTGCTTCGTTGCTTTGTCTGAATGTGAGTTGTCGTGACTCCTCGCATTCCTTTCTGCTGCTCCCTCGCAAATATCAATGCTCCATCAAAGTCCTTCATGGTTCGAATCGTGATCATTAATTTGCGCATTTACGGTTTTGGTTGTGGAGATATATCTCCGGAACTGGGACGTTGGGAACTGACGTGTCGAATGTTGATTTTAGCGCGCGTGCGGGAACAGCCTTCAAATCCATGATGCGGCGCTCTCAAACTAACGCTCCTCCACTCACACAAGTGGCTTACCCGCAGCCTAGAAAAACGATCCAGTTTAGATACCCGAGCTGCATTCAGAAGCTGCTGCTGCCGTTTTCGTCCCTCCTGCTTGAAACTCCTCATCAGGATGTAGTTGATACGGCTTGAAACTCCTGCTTGAGGCGCCTAAAAACTGAAACTCCTCCTCAGGATGTATAGTTGGTACAGCATAGCTCTCTAGTGTGCGGCACGACAGAAATTGTCGCCTCGGTGCGGGCACCACACAGCCCTGATTTACTAGCCTAGTGAAAACCCAAGGTTGAGCCGCACATATCCGGCATATGTTTGAGAAAGGGTGGCTTGCGCGATGCAACCAGTGTCCGTTTCGCGTCGCGTGCAGATCCATGGCCCTACTTTCTCAGATTGGCAAAGTTGTCGACTTCGTAGAGCCTTCCCTCGATGTTGCCAGTCTTCAAAGTTGTCAGACAGCTATATCCCACTACCTGTCGAGTCCGATTCGAGAGGTACAGTTTTAACTAACTGGTATCATTAATACAGTTCTAACGTACAACTGTCCTCGAGCGGAAGGGCAGAAAGTAAGGCGTATCGTCGCGCGCCTGTCCTCGCTTGTCTCCGAGTCGTGTCGTCTCATGACTCGTCCGCAGACGTGGCGGCTAGGCAAACGTCGTCCCATTAGGAGCAGAGCGGACGCGGCGGATCGACCAGATGGGACAGCATGTGTGATGTGTCGCCTCGCCAGTGAGCAGAGCAGGGACGACGACAGCCGTAGCGCTGCTCCCGAAACAGCGACCAAGACAACCGTATAGCGCGTTATTCGTAATACACTACAGTACAGTACCTACAATTTCCAGAGGTACAGTAGACTGGTAACCGCCATTCTATCCACTCCGATTCAATCTGTGCTGCGCGCACGCGTCATTCTAGTGCGTGTATCAGTACGAGCATTAGTCGATTCCGAGCCAACTGCTGCCCTGTATCAGTTGGCTCGGAGCAGTGATGTGCCTTCCAGTGCCACTTGAAACCTCCAGCGCCGCATATTCACATGTGCGGATGTATGCCGCCATGATGTGCTTTCACAATGCAAGCTCCAACGCACATGCTGCCACTGGTGCGTCTCTAGTCCCGCTGTCTCACCACGTCAGCAGCAACTTGCTCCCTGCTTCCCCACGTCAGCAACGGATCCGATGAAGATCGCGCCGATATCCGCCTAGCTGCAGCCTGATCCAGATGGCATGTTCCGAGAAGGTCTCCACTCACTACCAACTGCCGTACCATGAAATGGATCATCTCTCACTCCTCCTCTCACTCCTCCTCTCACTCCTCTCACTCCTCCTCTCACTCCTCCTCTCACTCCTCCTCTCACTCCTCCTCTCACTCCTCCTCTCACTCCTCCTCTCACTCCTCCCCTCACTCCTCCTCTCGCTCCTCCTCTCGCTCCTCCTCTCACTCCTCCTCTCGCTCCTCCTCTCACTCCTCCTCTCGCTCCTCCTCTCACTCCTCCTCTCACTCCTCCTCTCACTCCTCCTCTCACTCCTCCTCTCACTCCTCCTCTCACTCCTCCTCTCGCTCCTCCTCTCACTACCAGCCTTATCCCCAAATTTCATGAGCCTCCCCCCGCGCTTGGCTCAACTTGTCCGGGCGTGCAGCCTTTGGCGAGAGGAGGTGGCGTGGCGATCGTTCTAGAAGTTTAGAAACCTACCAGGCCCATCATGTAGGCTGTACCCTGGAATCCGGGGTGGTGCGCGTTAGCAGCAGGTAGGCTCGGTCTAGATATAAAAAGAGAGCCGGACCTGTCACTTTGGACTACCCTCATTGCTGTTCAGCGCCCTTCAGTGCTCTCGAGCGGGGCTCGTACCTTCACCCGAGTCACCCCATTCACACACGCTTCTGCGTGGACGTTGGTAATCCGGAGCATATACTAGCCGCCTCAACTCACCACTCGACGTCAGGTGAAGCACTCTTGCAGCTGGCCCCTTTCACAATCGACTCAAGCTCTTCTTGCCCCCGGATTCAAGCCAGCCGCATCCATCCATCCACTCATGGCGGTCGCGGAGAGCCCCATGCACCTCTTGAGGGGGACATACCAACGGAATCTCGGGCACGAGCGAATCCAGCCACGGCAGGAGTCTCTCTGCTTAGTCCAGGCGGTTTTCCCGGACTTGGGGCCTAACCAGCAGCCCCAGCAGCTCCAGCTCCAGCAGCAGCAGAAGCGGCCCGCCAGCCTCTTATGGCATCATGGGGCAGGGAAGAGACGGCGCCTGGGTTGGAGTGGGGAACAGCAGGGAAGACAACCTCTCCCTCCGAACCTCATGCCGTACTGCTGTGATTTAACTGCTCGTGGTGCCGCTGGTGGTACTGCTGCCACTGCTGCTGGTGATACTGCTGCCGCTGCTGCTGCCTTCCCTGCACTATTCCCTATCGCTTTCTCTCAGCCTACAAAGGACCACCACGTTCCGTCCTTTGCCGGGCTCCTGAATTCCATTTCGCCTGCCCGGCAACACCAATGCCGGGTCATCTCCGCCCCTGCTGCCTCTGCCATCTGCTCTCCGTGTATTCCGAGCCACGAAGCATCGGTGTCTACAGCACTTGCGCATACGCAGCAGCAAGTGTCTAGGTCGGGGGATACCTGTGTCCTGAATAGTGTGACAGGCTGTCGTGACTCTGCATCGTCTTCCGTGGGCTCTCGTTGCACACAGCAGGAGAAGCAAAGGAAGCAGGAGAAGCAGGAGATGCAGGGGGGAGAGGAGATTCAAGAGAGAGGAGTACAAGGATGGGTTGCGATGGGGGATGCATCGGCAGGCTTGCTTGATTCTCAAGGGCAACCTGCTGCAGGGCCTGAGAATCTCTCCATGCCGGGTTGTCTCTTTATGCATGGCAAACTCTCAATGCCAGAGGATGTGCCAGGCAATAGAAGTGAAGCTTCTGAAGAATCTGATGATGATGAGCTACAAGACACTGCGTCTACTTGAACGAAAAATGACATACAAGTCTTCATGGTTTGCACACCCCTAGCAATTGTGTTGCATGTAGCCAATTTAGATTTGTGTAGTGTATTGTGAAGCTTATGAAGTTAGATTTGCTGTACCGTACAAATACCAATTCAAGTGATATGACCCCAATACCATTGACATCTTGGAATGAGATAGAGTGTAGGATTATTGCAAGTGAGCTGCAGAATAAACAGTATCTTGATCAAGATATGACAAAAGCATGCAATGATGCTCACAATATGTGAACAATCTCAACTCAAACTGGGTGTTGTAAACTAGGATGAGTGTTTCTAGTATGGCCTCACACAAATGTGCTCCAACTCACTAAGTAGACACGTTTTTGCATTTGAATACAAGATAGGAGAAATACACAATGAGTTGTGTGTCCTCGATGAGCCCGAGCATAAATGCAACAATTGAGTGAGTGCTCTAGTTTTGTTTTTTTGTTTTTTTTTGTAATGTTTTGTTTTTGTGTGTGTGTGTGTGTGTTTTTTTTTTTTTCCTGGTCGCTGGTTTCACGTCGAGTACAAAACATGTAGTCATGGCGGTAATCCCGGAAGGAAGGCAAGGGAAAGGGGAAAAGAAGAAAGAAAAGCAATTGCCAGACCACAAGACACGCAAAGAAATGAAGCACGCAACAAGAAGGCGCAGGGAAAGTGCCGAACACTAGAGCCAAACTCCCAAAACAACCTAGACTCGCAGGTCCAGCAGGTAGGGCGCACCCGCTGACGAGGCCCCCCACCAGCCCTCCCGCTCGCCATCTACCTGCTCCGCCGGCACAATGTCAGGCCCACCCAACATTGACGTCGCACGCAACAATATGACACATACCTGGGCCCGCTGTAGAGCCACCCCAATAGCAGCCTTGAGAGACCCCACCAAATAAGCTGAGAAAGTTTTCGCATTTCCACCACCCGCCCCCTTGCTCCTCACCACCTGGAGCTGTACATCCCCCTGTTGGCGCAGCCACCGGCGAAAACCTCCCCCGAGGCAACCCCACCTCTCGACAATGAGCGGAGTAAACAACACACCTCGATGCCGCTGCACCAACGCCTTGTAGTCCGCCCTCTTGCGCTTCTCCCGTTCGCGAGTTGCGAACCCCCCCACCCGCTCGAGCTGGCCATGTTGCTGCGAAGAGAGCGAGATGGGATCCACGACACTCACCTCGAGCGCGTGCGCCAACATGGCCGTACACCACCCATATGCCTAAGATAAGGGGTTGCAAACGGCCGCCGAATGAATGCCGAAACCACCGAGCCTCGCCGGAAGGTGCAGCTGGAGGCGGGCCATGCGCGACCTGTCCGGATTGAGCTCCCAGCTACCAGGCGGAAACAACTGCTCAAAGCAATCCTCCATGGCAACATCTCAGTCTCGAAAGGCCTCTGTGAGAGTACGACATCGTTAAACCAATTTCCTCTTCCCATATTTCCTTTCTATATCATTCCTATTTTTTTCCTGATTCATTTGGTCTTTATCTCATCTCATTTGGTTTCCTATTCCTAAATTTCCATTATCCTTTGGTTTATAATGTTATTATAATTATATCACCGACCAGGCTCGGGATGTACTGGCGCGCTATATCTAACGTAATCCCTTTAAGCCAATAGCATTGCGTGGCTATACGCAGGGTGATTCTATTTCTAGAAGGGTCTATTCCCTTTGGATAGGATAAACTTGGTTACCTGATGTACTCTGGAAGTATAAAAGCACCTTGTACTGATTGATAGGGCAATATTGAGCAAACCTCATTCGATCCTGTGACAGCATCCACGACCTCCGGCCTAGGGGGCATTGTCCGCGTGAGGTAAATACGGCGTGCAGACACAGCTATGGCCAAAAGGTGAGAAGCGATATGTGGGTGGTCCAGGAGGGGAAGTCAAGGCAAAGGCGCCTGCAACTGTTTCAAGCGCCCACGACTGTCAGGCCACTACACGCGGACTGCAAATCCGATGGCACCTCGCCCCCCCCCCCGCCTGCCCCCAGCCACGCCCGCGCTCACAGCCGCCGCCCCATCCGCGCCTGCGCCCACGCCCGCACACCCATCCGTAGCCTCGCGCCCGCCCGCGTTCCCCTCCCCATCCGCAGCTCTGCCCTCGTATCCACCCCCAGTCACGCCCCCGCCCCAGCCGCCACCCGTCCTCCCATGCTCCCAAAGGCAACATTTATGCGGTAGAACCTCCAAGCGAAGCCCCCCCAACCGCTCGCGTAGAACGTCGTACGCCAGCAGGACCCAGTCCAGAGGCCCCCGAATGTACGTGTCATCAGCATAACTGAGGAACAGGATGTCAGGGAAATCGCGGATGGTGGGTTCCATCGCCAACTGCTGGGTGAACGCGAAGAGGAAATCACCAAAAGGATCACCCTGCCATGAGCCCCGCTCCGAGGACAGCACCTCTATGAAAGGGCCCGCTCGGAGGTAGAGGTCGCTGGGAGCACTGTAAAACACCCGTAGGAGCGGAATCAACCCGACAAATGACGAGTCACGAAGACCCTCGAAAAAAGAGTTGAAAGTGTTTGCCACATCGATCTCCAGCGCGCACCAATCCGGATGCAGCTTAAGGGCCGAGCGGAAAGCATGCGCAAGCGCCTCCACACCCGACCGAGACCCCACCCCTAGCTGGTTATACGGCGCAAAGTGAGACACCATCTGAGCACGCAACATGAGGGAGATCGCGCGGGTTAGGATGCGCGGGAGCACCTCGCCAATTGCCATAGGTCGAACGCCGCCATCTGGCTTCGAGAGGCTCACCAAGTTCGATGCCGCCAGCCAGGGCCGGACCCGCTTGGCCACCTCCCCCGCAGTCCACTGCTAAAACACCCCGAGCAGGTGGGAAAGGTAGGAGGGCTCGGAGAGGAAGGTATCACGAAGGTGCTTAGTCACCCACCTGGAAGGCTCCGAATCACGACCAGCAGAGTGGATCGCCTGTATCAGCACCTCCACCATGAGCTGAGGGAGTTGTGATCCCTCCACCGAGACGAGTGCACCCACTCAGGAATAGGAGTCACGTTGGCAGGGTGCTTAGCCCGCAAAAAATCCACCATGGCTTGGGAGGGCTGCACCAAGGGGCTCGAAGTAAGGCAGGCCAAGCCTCGGCTCCACTCGCCTACCGCGTACTGCGTGCGGAAGCGAGCCAGCATAGCGGTCGAGATGCTGGCAACATAGCGGCCCGAGCAGAATCAAACAAACGCCACCATTCGCTTGCCCAAAACTGCTCCAACCACTCTCGAATCACAGCCCGGTGACCCGCGCCCTTCCCGTCCGGGACCCCCAAGATGAGACGGGGGAACGCTAAAAGCATAAGTGTAGCCGCCCCATTCCCCGAACGTGACTTGAGGCACTTGAAGCTGCAACAAAGAGCGTCCAGGACTCCGAGGCGGATGTGGAGAGGGATCCAATGCATCAACCTCCCCGAAACCCAGTCGATGCCAAAAAAGGCCTCCCAATCCCATGACGGCACCAGGTCCCACACCGCGTCGCCGATATCCTGAGCTGCTGGCCCATCACCCTCCTCCTCCGCATTCAAGTCAGGGGTCAAACCCAACGCCTAAGTCCGACGCTGGGCGGCAGCCGCCCGACATGCCTCCATGTGCCGCGACGCCCGACCATCGTCGGCAAATGTTTGGAGGCACTCCTCACATGGGATCCAAGGAGCCGGTGCCACCGCAGGGTCTGGAGCCGCTGGCTCTGCCGAGGGTCCAGCGGCCGGTGCAGCCGAGAGATCAGCGGCTGGCACGGTTGCAGCACCCCCAACGACCGTCGGTAGGGGCCGATGTGGATCCAAGGCAAGGGCAGCCGGAGCGGGCAAGGTCTCCTGCGCCATCATGGGGCTGTCACAGGGAGGAGTCGCCCGCCCGGAGCGCATCCCCAAGTCCCCCTCCGGAGGCCCATCCGAGTCCGGCCCAAGTTGCACACCCACCGGCACCCCCCCCTCCGCGTTCAACCCCAGCCCGACACCTGGTTGTTGACCCCGCGTCGCCCGGAGGGGCCGCACTAGCCCCACCCCACCCGCTTGCTCCTATGGCGGCTGGAGAGACTGCCCTGGCCCCACCACTGCCTGCCACCCGTGCCGTCCAAGGAGGGGCTCCACTTTCCCGCCCTCGGCTTGCTGCCCCCGCCTTGCCTCTAGCGGCAGCCCCCTCGTCAATGCCTGCTCCTGCCGCGCTTCTAGCAGCTGCCCCGCCCGTCCCCCATCCGTGACATCAGGTTCAGCTCTCTCAATTGCGCCAACTGCCGCTCCAGCTGCTGCCCCAGTTGCTCCCTCGATATCCCCCCCCCCCCCCCCCCCCCCCCCCCGACCCCAGACCAACAAACCAACCGCCCCTCCCCTGCAGCCCCCCCCTCCGTGTCCTTGGTATGGACGTCCATGGGCAAGGGGAAGCCGCTCGGCCCGCGCACCGCCCCCTTGAGAGAGGGGTACCCATCCTCCCAAGGGGACCCGCCCCTGCCGCAGCGGCACCCACCACCACCCCCTCCATCGCCGAATGGCAAGCCTCCGATTCGCCAGCCGACTCTACGGCTGTAGGAGGGAGGTTCAGGTCAAAGGCCCGCGCCCCCATCCCCTCAGGGGGGGCAGACGGGGGCGCGGGCGTGCTGGTCACCCCCAACACCCCCCCTTCCTGCTGCCCGCCGGCGCCGAGCTCCAGCTGACCTCCCGCCGGCCGCTCCCTCTCCCCCCCGCAGCCGGCTGCCCCCTCGCCCGGCGGCCCCACCTCCGACTCGTCCGCCGCCGCCCTCCCGTTGGCGATGCCTGCCACTCTCCTGCCTGCAGCGCCCCAGAGCTTGCCGCCCCCCTGCCGCCGGCAACTGTTGTCCCTCCAGCGGCTGTCCACCCACCGGACACTCCAACCAGCCGCCCCCCAACCACCCCAACTCCCCTCCCGACCGCCATCCCGATCGCCCTCCCGCCAGTCCGGGCAGGCCTCCGGCCGGCTGTGCCTGCCGCCCTCCCACCAGTCCGGGCAGGCCTCCGGCCGGCCGTGCCTGCCGCCCTCCCGCCAATAGTGCGTGTAGCCTGCCAGCCACCTGTGCCCATTGCCCCTGCCGCCCCCCCCGGACAGCGTCCACCGCCCTCCCACTGGCAAAACCTGTCGCCCTCCTGCCAACAGCAACGCTCCCGACCGGCCA